TCATAAACTCATAGTATGGTTTTAGCACCCTTTTGTCACAAGGGCAAAAATTGAATGCACATGCTAAGTCACTTTTGAAAACAACAACACTACATATCTGACATTCGTCTCCTTTTTTAGAAGACGCTTTAGAGGTCTTATTACGTCTTGAACGTTTCTTCCTTGTTTTGATGTGTGTCACACACTGGCTTCCCACGGAAATAGGTGTTGTATCATGTCCACTTGGTTTCGCCTGTGCCGTTTCAGGGCCAGACTGTAGCAATGTAGGTATAGTATCAAAACAGAGGAGATATACGCGGATCTTTAAAATCGGTATGCGAGATAGGGTGAACGTCCCTGGGTGGCCGCCTCCTCTGGTTGGGGCACTTGTGACTACAGAATATGGTGTTTAGGTGCCTTTTTAAGACTACTTTCAACTGCCATATCAGCAATTACTACGACGTCTTCTAATATATGAATAAGAAATAGCAAAATCATCTGCCCAATGGAACAAGAACAAATAGAATGAAATAGTATAAGAAAAAAAAAAGGTTTTGACTTTAACCTATAACTTTTTGGTTACTCGGCTTCACAGCAATCACGTGGCAGACCATCTAGTCATGTTTATCTGAAGGAGTGAGCAAGATGCTAATACAGATGTAGCACCTGTGGCTTTGGCAGTAGTTCGAGACATTTGGACTTATCACAGGGATTTGATATGGAAGTAATGATGAGATTTAATTCACCGGCTAGAAAGATCGGGTTTTCCAAGCGGATAATTCACAAAATAAGTATTTTTCGGTTAAAGAAGAAGAAGCACGTCGTATTCAAGGAGCGCGCCAAGAGAAATCCAATAGCGATGCCTTGTATTATACTGTTTACACTGCTTCCACCTGTGTAAAGTGACCTTAAAGGTATTATTACATTACCTTTTCTTACATACATCTTGTTTAAGTGAATAATTGTAAATATGCTTACTATTTGTATATGTTATCCGTCATATCGCTGATGCCTGTAAACTGGTGTCCCTCATGTACAAAAACTGGGAATATTATCATTATATCATCTAAGTCCTTTTATACATCTATGCGGCTAGTCTGTATATCGCTTGTAGAGTAATCAGTGAAGACTTACGCGTGCTTTGTGTACCATGGGAATCTAGTAATTGATTCGTTCCGGAAATAAATAGTTTGTTATTGTAATCAGTGTAATGAAACTGCCTGAACGGAGAGCCTCTGAAACGTGTTATCGAGGTGTGGGTTCCAATTTCTTTAGAATACATGACTGGGGAGAAGTTTTCATGGAGGGATATTTTAAAGGCTTTTATTGTCACTGTGTAAATTTGGTTACGCAGATCATAAGAGCCTTGAGGTGAGAATTGTATGTCCTTATTGCCTGAGAATGATATTTTATAATAATAATGTATATTTTCATATAAACATAAATTTATGTAGGACCTCAGAGAAGAATATTAGGTTTATAATAAGTCATCCCGTCGAAAGTGGGTCAAGACTTAGAATCATGCACCGTGAGATGTAGTCCTTCTTACTATCACATTCAAGTAGTTTTGGACGTGAAATATCGTTGGATAATTTCCATCCTCAGCTTGTCAAATATGCGAGTACTGCTAATAATAAATGGATGGTATTCAAATAGTGGCCTTGCACACATTTTGTGTAGAATAGGCCCGGCTTCATTGTCATGGAAGTTTCCGAGTATACACCCTAAGAGCATCCTCTACTTTCTACTCTGCGATACAACTTTCTCAGAAAATGTTAGGTCACTCAGACTTAAGTCAACGACACTTTGGAGTCTGGTTAGATTAGCAGATTGAATCGTTAATTTTATGTCGATTGAGGGTGCGCCGAAGCAGATTCAATCACATTTGTTCAGATTGAGTTGTACATTCCATAAAGACGACCAGGCAGTCACTTTATGTAATTCACTCTGCACAACATTCTGGAAGTACTCTAGGTCATCACGATGGGACGCGTGAGCTACTTTTAGGTCATCTGCAAAGACGAATGGCTTCCCATGTGAGAAGCAAGTTCATGTGTCGTTGATATAAAATGTAAATAGGAGGGGTCCAATGACATTACCTTGTACTACACCAGAAGTGATTGGGCCTGGTCTGGAAATCATAGACCCAAGTCTAACAATTTGGTACTTGTTGTTAAGGAATGATTTGAGCTATCCTAAAATTGGGTCGCGTATTCCTGAAGAATTCAGCTTATTTATCAGCGACGAATGGTCAACGTGGTCAAATACCCTAGAAATGTCAAAGTAGATGGCAAGAGCTAGTTGTCGTCTGTCATGGCTACTGGACACAAAATAAATGAAGCCTAGGTGACAGGTTAGACATGTTCATGGATTTAGGAATCCATGTTGGTTCGGACTTACAATATTGCAGCTAGGCATGTCTTTGAGTATGTTATCTTTGGCTAGTCTCTCTCTAATTCTAGATGCTGTAAGTGTGATATTGATTAGCCTGTAGTTGTTGACTTCTGTTTTCGAGCCGCATTTGTGTTTGGGTACGATAAACGTCGTTTTGCATGCATTCTGGTATGTGTGGGTTTCTAGGTAAGATACTCTGAACCTTGTCAACCCTTCATTACTCGGTATATTGTAGACTATCACGCTTAGTTTTGTATCTAGTCTTTTGATGACCTCTGCTGCGATGAAGTTTATCAGGATGTCTACCCTGGTTCTGTGCCACATACGCCAGAGTTTATGGTTCTGGTCAGGATGCTCAGAGGTGTAAGTTCACAGACCTGCGAATTTATCTCAATAATATGTGTTGATAGTTGAGATATGCTGGCCAGATTTTCTGAACATCCTGCATTCATAAGCTTACTACACCTTAAATCCTGCATCTCACTTTTCAAGTCTTCGACAGACAGCTTTAGTCATTCTTTTTCTAGTGTTCAATATCTAAAATACTGTGGCGCAGAGGATAAGCAACAGCGGATGAATGAAGTATCGTCATATGTCAAAAATTTCACTCTTGTATCAAAAATACTATATGAAATCAAGCTATGATGAAATAAAAAAATTAAGATAAATAAATAATGTTTAAGATCAGTCCATAGAATCGATTGTGAATTTCAAACAGTGGGTCGTAAGTGAAGTGGCTTGCAGAAATACTGCAGGTGTGTTGAAAAGCCAACAGACTTCTGAAAAACTGCAAGGAATTGACTGTAAGACCAATATGGTTAGCATCATACATTGCAAATGTGCACTATCATATCAAGTACTGTATAGCTTATTCTTGTATTTTTCTTGTAAATATACTTCCAATAATGTATTATTCATGATTGCATTTTATACCACTTTGTAGGTGTGCAGGAGTTTCTCCTCTTCCTGAAAGAGCGTTCAAGCACGTGGGGTCACAGTACTCACTCAAATATATGTTGTTTATCGATGGGCCATTACTATCATCAGGAAATGGAACGAAGTATGGGTTGTCGCTCAACTTCGATGGAGACCTTCGTGAAAGATTTACAAATTAACAATTATAAGAATCTGTTCCGATTGCTTGTACTATAATTCAACAACTTGAACTTTTTAAAAAAAGTGATAATGTATGCTAATTCACAAGTGTAATTCGTAACATAATTTACCGTGCCTGTAAAAATGGCATGCATTTCATGTAAACTTACCCGTTTATACAAAATATATATTATTATTACTCAGGTGATCCCTGGATATAGTTTTATCAAAAATTTTGTGGATACTAAGGTGTCTGGTGAAGTGGGAGTCGGTCTATGAAACCAGGCTGCTTGAAGAACTCAGAGTCCGCTTCTGTAGGTTTTGACCAGAAATAGCGCTTATGATTGACGTGTGACCATGTATCCTTCTAGATCTGAACTGTATCCACATTACCTCCTGACTCTTCAGCCTGATCCACCTAATCTGGTTGCCAGGGTTAGAGGACAGTTAGGTAACACTGAAAGCAGATTTTCATTATTCCTTGTCGAACTATCCTTGCTGGTGGGATCCATGCCTATAAAACTGGTGTGTCCTACATAGATAGGAAATATGTCCATATATATACACTTCCCTAGTGGGATTCTTCTTGATCATAACCTACGGTTTTGTAACAGCGGTCACCAGATTTACTTGCCGCTAAGTAATAGATGTATGTGATTATTTCATGGCCATCACCAGCTAATAAAGCATAGACATAAGTGTTGAGATAAGGGACGTTTTAGGTGAATGTGAGGCCAATGATACTGGATTCTTAGGTGGGTTGTAACACTTCGCACCCACCCATGTGCTCGAACGACTTTTTGGAACAGTAAGGGTGTGTGGAGGCTTTTAAATTATGGCGGTGGAAGCCAAATATGTGAGAGCTTTTCAGTCATAATTGTATGTTCGAGGTCTAGGGGGGAAACATATTGGAAAATATCACACGTTCGATTAATCTGACTAGTGTTAGGGTAGGATGGACTCCTTATAGACCGTAACAGAAACCTCAGAATAAGTACGGCGTTTACCGCAATCCATATATAGTCTATTAATGAGTTGCCTAAATCTTCTATCAAATTGGTTTATACTAGCTCGTAAAAACGATATTGGATATTGGAACTTCAAATTTAATTAGCTGTCGGTTTTTACGTTTTCTTTTTCCATCTTTTGGTCTGAATAACCTACACTGATTATATCTACTATTACTTTTGCTACTATTATTATATCTCTTCTTTTATCCACGACACCGGGGGACTAACTGGTGAAAGGAACAAATAAATTCGCAGTGACAACACGGTCTCAACACACCACATACTACAAACAACATATGATTAATCCCAGCACCACTCCTTTTTGGAGTCAACCAAAGCTACGACAGTCAAATGGTGGCACAAACTAATCAGTAGTTTGCCGAAGACCAGGAACCTTTACCTCACAATCAAGAAGCGAGCACAAAGGAATCGAATTGGTTTACTCGAGCTCGTAAAAACGATATTGGAATATATAAGAAATAAATAACTTTGTTAATAATTGTTGGAATTCAATTATTTCAGTATGTTTACGAAATAAGCCGAAAGTATAGTGTCGCTGGAACTCAGAAGTGCCGCTGTTGTAAGTTCGAATATAATGTCAAGCCGGCCAATCGCGGGCAACTCAGCCAGTGTTTAAAGGTGCGTGCTAGTTGCGCTAAATCAAACTTCGTCGTACGGTCGCTGCACCTGGCTATTAGGACTCTTATGTAAGTATTTTGACTAATGTATTAAGAATAGTAAAATCTTATAGCAATTATTTGAGCTAATCAGTTTCATTATGCATTATATATATGTGTGATGCTTCTCCTACTGAAAATACAAGCCATATGACGCGGCTAATGTTACGTATGTGTATTTAGATATTTTTGTAGAGTAACTAAAAATGTAGGGATTTTATTATCTGGAGCAGCGCGAGTTTTCCTAGTAACCATACACACTATGCTTATAATTTATTTTTAACGGGCCTTAAGTGTCTGCTTCATGTGAGGCAGGGTTTGAGATTTTCGGAGGTAAAACATTGCATTTTCTCCAAATTTTTATCTGGGATCAGTGTAACTTTACCTATGTTTCCATGGTTTTCAACCTATTAAAGATTAGACATACATGGCGCAAAACCTGCTTATTAAATACGGAACGTGGTTGATTGATGGCTAGATATTAAGAGTTACTGGCTGGCATGGTGTCTCTTAAATCTATCCCTCGCTCCTCTTGCTACTTATCTGTAGGCGTGGTAGATGACTTGGTGTATAGTGCTGTCTTCCTCTGATGACAACTGAGACTTCAGTTATGTTTGAAATTCATTTCGCATCCTAGTATCACAATACCTCTGTTGTCTTCTCTTGTGAATAATGGTGAGCTGAGTTGGAGCACATATGCGCAATGCTCTGCATGCTTCTTTCAGTCAGTTATCGTTTTGGAAAACATTTGTGACTCTAAATTCCACTTTACTGAAGTGTAAGTTAAACTCAAGATATGGGGTTGCTGAAAAGTTCTCGTCGTTTCAGATGAATTACATCCAGTTGACAACGAAACTATAGCATACAAATATTTTGAGGTAGTTTCTTACTTCCGGCTCATCTGATCATAATGATAACGTTGTCGCTACACATTATGTTGTGCAACGTACGATGCCGTGTTCTCAGTTTTCAACTGGGAAATCAGCTGCTGGTATGACTTTTTATATGACTGATTGCTGTGCGACAGCTTGCTACAGTATGTCTTACTTATACCAGTTCTTTATCAAATCCCCATCGAAATTTTTCACTTATATTCCCTCCTCCATAGGAGTCTTGTGTCAGAGGAATTACAGCATCCTATTTGAGCTGCACTACATTTTCATTACCATTACCACACATCTAATGGTAAGGTCTTTTGGGTTGGCACAATATATCGCAGATGTACACTTACTATTCACTGTGTTGTGTACTTCCTTCCCACATTTCTTCTGCAATGCATCACCTCAGAAGAATTAACTCCATGCTTAAAGTTTATACCGTCTGATGTTTTCTCAGAACTTATCCCACAAACATACGTGGATGTAGGCAGTGAACTATGAACACGCATAGTCAACTTGGTTACGATCTAATGAAGACGATACGAAATCACACTTTACCGACTGAGTGCAGTTACTTGTGAACGTCAAAACTAAATTTGAGATGCTTTATTAACCTTGACAATTTCTTCGCTCCTTGATGCTATAATTGTTCCATTTTCATGATGACCAAGGCTAGAAATTGACTACGAAATCACCACAAAATCAGTCAGTTGTCGTTTTGGGAAACATTTGTGACTTTAAATTCCACTTTGGTGAAGTTTAAGTTAGACTTTAGATATGGGGTTGCTGAAAATTTCCAGTTTCATGTGCAATCTTGTACGAAGCACTTTTTCAAAAACGTTTCTAAAATCTATGAACACGGTGATGGGTGTTTTGTTATCCGCATACTTGATCTACCAATTCCTTGCTTTAAAGTGTGTCAAACGTTAAAGATTTCCCAAAAAGCTCTGCTTTGCGTTGGATAAAATCTTATTTCTAAATAAGCGGTGCTTGCCTTCCTGATTATCCCTTCCACTGTCTTAATTAAGATGCCTCTGAGAGTATAATAGGTCTGTATTTTTAGGGACAGTGTCTAAATCCTCTCTTGTAAATAAGGGTTACTACTGTATTCCGCCAGTCAATCGGTAACGCTTCTTCTGAAAGTAATAACCTGAAGGAACTGGTCAGTGGGCTTTCAGCTCCTTAAGAAGACGAGTAAATTTCATCAAGTTTCATTACTTAGTTGGGGATTATAATGCGACATCTTAGTCAACGTCGATAGGACATATACTGTTTTCCAAGTGTTGGTTTGTAGGGATTTGATTGGCTAACAGGATTTTCATCATGAGCTGACATTAGTTAGAGAACCATTGGAAAACCTGGGAGTACTGGACAGCTGTTTCGCCCTAGTATTGGACTCTTCATCAGTACGCACCCACCGGGATTCGAACCGTTTTCTTTTGGTGCGACTGGAGCTGATGCTACATGATGTAGTGGTGACGCTTATGTTAAGATACTAGTTCTCCTTGGTTGTTTGTGTCAGTTATCAGGCTGGAAACTTAACTAGACGTATTGTTCGTGTAAGCGTCAGGTAAGAAAATAATTTTTGGGTGTGTGTGTTGCATTGCATTCTGAACCGGATATATATGTCGAATTTTATCCATCTATGATAATAACAAACGCATGCAGTAGCTATTATTCTAGCTGTGGTGTATAGCTATCTGGCTTCTGGGAGTGATAAACACCTTGCAGCTCTTGTGTTATATGATATTAGATAAAGTTAAAAAGGAGTTTGGTGGGGTTCAAATCAAGCCATAAAGTCTGACTGTTATTTTGAGTGGCAAAGTTTAACAATAGCGTCTCAAGGGATGCGAATGCATTGGTGACCTTGAGCCGATCAATCATAAAAATGAAGAATTTTTTGCACAACAAATGACATATATTTACAAGAAAATGCATGAAAACGCATTAAACAGGGTATCTTTCTCTGACATGACTTAAAAACACGTCCCAGTTTTAACGAGGAGTATCAGTTGCTAAGTTAGACTAGTTTCTATACACGTATTCACCGAGATGACTACTGATGAGCTGTTTTTGTGAATCGTTTATCTCTCTTATCCTGTTGTGCAGTCTTCCCAAAAAGCCCTCGGTTGAATTACTATAGTTTCCAGTAAGAGGATCGACAACTACTTACCAGAAAAATGTGGATAATAAAACAAATCTGTCCCTAAAAGTAACCCTAACCTTAGTCCTCACCTTAACCCTAAACTTAACACTAACCCTAACCGTAAACCTAACTCTAATGCTAATAATGACCCTGATGCTAATCCTAACGAGCTATTAAGACATTGTCCAAATAGTTCTTAAGAAACGTGATCTAGGTGAAATTTGCCCCTTAGGTGGTGAATAGCGTTGATATTTCAGCTATGATAATGACACAGGTGTCGTTAACCAACGACTAGCATGCGTTAAAGGTCATTAGAGCGTTCGCACTCCTGGGACGCTCTTGTTGAACTTCACCGTTTGATTTACTTAACTAGATGTATATTGCCTGGCTAGGGTCGTCAAGCCGCTAAGAATCAATGGCTATGGACTGTTCGTGGCATGAATCAAATCATACTCAACGACACAGATACATTTACCCTTTATGTGAACTCCCAGATCTATCAGATTCTCATTATTCTCCTTGTACTTATTGTTTCATGAAGTACGACAACTTAAACTGCTAGATTTTAGTACAAAGTCCTTCGTTGAAAACTCAGGTCTTTTATTTACGCCGAAGAAAAGACCATGAATCTATCGGTTTATGCATAAAGATAGTCCAAGGAACGTAAATAATCTGTTCTGCCATCATTTAATGAATCAGCATTGATTTTCTCATTGATTAACTCATAGCATCATGCGTCCATTTAATTTTTCACCGTAAATTGCTTATTTTCTGGTATATAATATCAAAGTATTTCATAATTATTCCTTTGGGTTCCGAGTGAAACATAGGGCCTCAACAACACATCTCCACTTTGTTCTATTTTCTGTCATCCCCTTCAACTGAGTCCACCATTGTCCATAATCTTTCATCTCTTCCTCACACGATCTCCTCCATATCACCCTTGCACTGACGTCCCACTCGTCGCTTCCCATTTGGATTCCACTCGAGCAATGGCCTGGCGCGCGATTTCATTCGACGGTATCTTCAATGTTTACCCGATCTCTCTTTCCATTTTCTCCTATATATCTGTTGAGCAATCGGCTCTTGGTTGGTTTGTTCCTACAGTTTCTTGTTACTAATTCTTTCTGGCTATTTAATCTTCAGTATGGAGTGAAGGCAGCTGTTGATGAAAGTCTGCAACAGACTGTTGGAAATCCTTTACGTGATACGCTGACCAAGTTTCTGACCCGTATAGAAGGACCGACTTGACATTGGTGTTGAAAATCCGAATTTTGTTCCTTATGCTGAATGTAGAAGAATTCCAAACTGGTTTCAGGTTGATGAAGGTGTATCTTGTCTTTCCGATTCTGACTGACTGGCTCTGATATCTTTATCCGTTCCGCCTGTAGTTGAAACGGTACTGACTGCCTAGATAAGTGAAAGCAGGAAATAACCTCTGTTAAATCTCTCCCGTTCATAGTGATTGGTGCTGATTGTTGTTGTTGTTGGTGGTGTTGCGGTTCGTTGGTTATCTTCATCACCTCCGTCTTCTCTATGTTTACCTGCAGTCCTGTCTTCGCTGCCAGCCTGCCTCTTCAGCCAGTTAGTTAGGATTTTAGGATGTTTGTTTTTATCAAGAATCGAAGATACTTTTGCATACTTATACCGTTTGCACTTAATCAGAATTTAGTAAAACTATTGATTTAACGTATTGATTATCAGTGATTTAAGTAATGTTTTCTTTTTCTTTTTTTTTTCTGTCCTTCATTACTTCCTTTAGGGATTCATTTACAAATGACCACCTTTCATGTCTTGCTGTAGTACAAGACTCTTCAGTCCACTTTTGGTTTCTACCTCAAGACAAATTTACATGTGCAAATTTTTTGTCTACTAATACTAGTAGTAGTAATAGTAGTAGCAGCAGTAGTAGTAGTAGTGATAGTGAAGAAATTTCTGATCCTAATCTATCAACATACAAACCTCAACCAATATCAACCAGTCCGATTAAATCAATCCAATGGAATCCTCGATCATTTAAGCTAGCTGTTATTGATGAATCCGGTGAATGTGTTTACCTTCAACAATTATTGTTTGGCAAAAATCATGACTATGAGAGCACAACCTCCGAAATACTGACGTTGAGTTTACAATCTGAAAATTGTACAGCCACGTGTATCGGTTTCCCTAGAAGTTCAGGAAGGTATCTAGCTGTTGGCATTAATACTGGCTGGGTAAATGTTTATAATTGTGGAAACAAGCAGATAACACTACGTTGTCAATTACGCTGTACTAATCTACATCCATTTAATGTATCATCTAATGGATTTCAACCAAAGTGTATTAGTTGGGTGTTAAATGATCGTATTATTGCTGCTGGATACAATAATGGCTCTATTGTCCTTTTCTTAGCAGCATCTGATAAAATTACTCCAAGTAATAAATGTGAAAACTATGTATTACCATTTCCTTGTCAATATTCAAAGTCCAATAATAGAAGGAGTACTTCTCCTCTTCCTCCTGAATGTTGTATTTTAAAAACTTCCAAATTTAACAGTAATCTCTTATGCTGTGGTTATTCTAATGGTTCTATAATCTTATGGAATATACAATGGCCAGCTGTTGGTGATACAAATCAATATATTTTAAATTATTGGAATGTTAAATCTTTTACTAAAAGTGTTAGTCAATTAAGTTTAATAGAAAATTATAAACGTTGTATAAGCATTGCATTTTCATCGAATAACGATCAACTGTTGTATAGTGCTGGGTTACCAGATTTCAATTTACGTGTATGGGATATCCTGTCGACATCGTGTCAAAAGCAACAACAACCTGTCAAGTGTTTATCCCCTGAGGATGAACTGCACGGTTACCTGAGTGTTGATGTCGCTTCAAGGACGCATATTCTTGCAACTGGTTTATTAAATGGTGAAGTATGGTTATATAATGTACAGGATATTTCAGCACCAATTCATTGTATCTCTACGGGATCAAGTGATACTTCTATTCGCCTACTTTCATTCTCATCCACTTTACGAGGTGATGTAAATGAGATAGACTTTAGTACTACTTCTTCTTCTCAATTAACCAATGAGAATTCTTACAGTAAATCAATTAATAGTACTCATTTAACATGTAACAGTCTAATTCGACAACCTTTAAGTGAATTAACTAATATAAGAACAACAGCAGCAACAACAACAACGGAAACAACAGAACAGGTTGAATCACAAACAACATGGGCAGCAATGCTTCATGAATTCTATCAATCAGAATCGAAATCACAAATTACAAATATTAGTTCATCAAATCGATCATTGTTCGACGAAAGTCCACTGAGAGGCGGCGGCAGCGGCGATACCTCTGAAGCATTGACTCTTGATAGCATAAACGAGCAGTCAACATCAGCATTGAAATCCCTTACAAGTCATCATGAGTATGATTCACTATTAAAAGATAATAAAAGTAGTATACCTCCAGTGCCGATAGATGGTACGTCTAGTCATCATACTACTGCTACTACTACTACTACTACCGTTGATACAGAGAAACTACAAGACACTTTGCCTACAACAACTGCTGCTTCACATATACCAATTGAAGCGTTAGACAAATATCTTAGTGTTCGCCTAGGATCTATGATGTCTGAGTTAAACTGGTCGCATAATGAATTACTCTACAAGTTTGCTCAACTTGAATGTAAACTTGATCAAATGAATCAGCTGTTATTACAAATGAAGCAGGAAAATGATGTGCTGCGAGTGGCATTAACTAAACGTAGGCCTTTTTAAAGATAATTTCATATATGCGTTTTGTTCTTTTCCAACGCCGCCTCTCTCCCGCTCTTTCTCTCTCCTGTTACCATTTTTGTACGCTTGCTTCTGATTTTGCATTTATCTTATACATACACACACACGCACATTTGTACACTTTGTCTAATTGAAGAAAAAGATTAATTTTGGAATACGGTTTTAAATATTTTAAGGATTATCACAATATCTAGGAGTCATTTGTTTTTTTGTTTTTTTTTGCTTCCAATGTAGACCGTAGTGTAGGGGAGAGCATGTGTGTACGTGTGTAGTATTTTGCAGGATAATAAACTGGTTAACATGAATAATCCCCCCTGCCCCCATCCAGACGTTAGTGAAAACAAAACACATGGTCCAGCGAAGAGTATCTTTTCGGCGGCGAATTCATTCATCACTTAGCTGTGCAAGTATTGGTTCTGTAGGGATTTTATTTGATTGGATGGAGGATTTCATCATGAGCTGACATCAGTTAGAGAACCATTGGAAAACAACCAACTGGGAGTACTGGACAGCTGTTTCGTTCTAGTCTGGGACTCTCCAGCAGTACGCACCCACCAACAGGGTTCGAACCCAGGACCTTCTGGTTACAAGGTGAGCTAGCTCTTAGACCATTAAACCACTGGGACCCGATCCAATGGCCCATGAATTATAACTTCTGCCTATTCACGACATAGCGCGACCATTTCGCAATGTCTTCTTCGATGAGTTACCGCCTCCTTCTCTCTCTTCTCTCTCTTCTCTATATATATATATATATATATATACTTATATTTGTGTGTACATTAGGTCTTCTCAGATAAGAATAAAAATAAGTTGGGTTATTGTTGTCGAGACATTTCAAAAATATGATGAACAATCAAATTGTAACTAGGTGAGGACGGGGGGAGGAGAGGGGTGAAAATGTGTTGTCAAAAAACATCTATTAACATATAAAGAAAGTTGAATAAGCGTGACACAGTTACATAATAAGGTGGACTAGAGGAAATTCAATTAGAAAAAGACGAAATAAATGATTAGTTTTGACATAACCAGTCTATATAATAATATTCCCCCCCCCCATTAAATACAGTTCTGGAGGCAGTTAGTAATGCAATGAAAATTGATCTTGAACTCAGAAGTAGGACTAAGCTCTGCTCTCAGTTGATGAAATCACATTATGTGTTCAGTTATGTTGTCTAACCTCCACACTGTATTCAAATTTCAAAATAAACTATATAAACAAACGAATGGGGTGGCGAAGGGATCACCAATATCCCCAATAGGTGTAGACATATTTATGAATAGTTGGGAACATAAGGCTCTTAGAACGTCTAATCCTGCTCCTATGTTGGATGGTGGATGACACATTCCATCACTGTGTTGAAATCTGAACATATCCCTCAGTTTTTTACACAGATAAATTTAATCAACAGTAAACGGAATCGCCGGTGGCATAGCGGTTAGGATGCTCGCCGACCATGTACATGGTCCGGGGTTCGATCCACGGCCGACGCACTCCTTTACCTCGCTAAACCAGAAATAAAGCTGGTAATAGGTAAAGGTTGGGCATGAGGCTAGCAACCCCGTCCTGTAAAAACAAACACTGCTGCAGAAACGTCAAGCCTCTAGCTTGAAGCCCTATGTTCCACTGGGGAACGTGAAGGAAAAAAAACAAGCGGAATCCGGTTCACTTCTGAGTTCGAAAACGAACAAGGTGAGTTGGCCATGCTAGAACTAGACTGTAGAATAAAACGAAACAAAGATGGTGGGTGGTTAGATACTAGATAGGTTCAGTTAAATGTTTTAATTCATGGATATAGTCCCCATCCAGGCATTAATGAAAACAAAACACGTAGTTCAGCGAAGGGTCTCCTTCCGGCGGCGAATTCATTTTCACAGCTGTACAATCGCAAATACATTTTTGTGTTATTTTGTATGTATGTGTACATTAAGTTTGTCAAACAAAAATACAATTGGTTATGGTTATTTTAACTAAATAAACAGGTGAAGATTGGTAATTGGAGTTACGTAATACAAATTCAGTCAAGAAAATTAGGTGTTAGTGAAATTAGGGTAGTAACAAAGGTGATGAATTGTCACAAACAGTTGTTAAAAGAAGTTATGTAATATTATGAATAGTTTGATGAGTGAGTTTTACTCAGGATGAACATAGGAACAAAGTAGAGAATAAGAAGTTATGTTAAATGTCTACATAATCGGGCCAGGAGAGCGTATCTAGTAAGCAAGAAGTTTTAAATAACGAAATCAAACAAATGAAGGAAGTATTACTAGTGAATAACTACCCACCAGAATTTATTCAAAAATATATGAATAACCCTAGAAAAACTAAGATTAGCAATGAAAGTGACGAAGATAATATAGAATTCAAAGCCTCTGTAGCACTGCCGCATGAAGAAAAGACGTCAAGGGCCTTATGTAGAATTCTCAATGACGCTGACCAACTATCTCAGAGATAAACTTTGTCGGCTTAAGGACCCACCCGATAGATCCAATTAGGAAAAATAATGTAGTCTTACCAAATACCATGCCTGTAATGACTGTTAGTGAGGTCACTTACATAGGCCGGTCAAACTAGTAGATCGAGGTGAACAAGATTATTGGAATATGAAAATTTAGCTAGGCCTAGAATAATTGACCCTGCTAAGTTAGATAACCTAGAAAAAACAGAGCTCAACCATTGCACTGCAATGCATTGCATTCACTTGAATGTAATCACAAATAGGGTGGATTGGACAGGGTGAGGGTATTAGAAAGTAATATAGTTAGGTGGGGAGAGAGAGAGGTTAATCACTGAAGCTTTGTTTATCGATTCAACACCACACACATGCAACAATCGGAATGACGCAACGCCAGCTATACCAGAGATATGGAAAGTGGCAACAAACAACAAAGGGAATTCGGAGAGACAGACAGAAAGAAATTACATATAAGACAAATTGTGAGTGCGTGTGACTAAATTGATATGATTATAAATGGCAATAATTTATGCTCGAAACCTTGTCATCCAGTTGTTAATACTGCGTCATCACTGTGTGACATTTAAAAATAAACTTATCAAATATGGAATTACATTCTACCACCAAAGTGCCCAAGTTCTACATTTACACTAATAAGACGAATAGTTTAGTGGAGTGAGTTGTGATTAGGATGCACATAGAAGCAAAGGAATATACGGAATTAAATAATAGTTCTAAAAATTACAAATTTTGTAAGGAGTTAGAAAAAAATAAACGTCAAGTTGGTGGAAGTCAACACGGTTGTTACCATGGTAGTGGAAGTGGTTGGATGATTTTCTTTTGTATATATAACTCTGGTTTTTCCAACTGAATAGCTAAGGCTTCATCAATACAAAGGACACAAAAGCTTATTGCCTTTGGTAGGCTATTCTTCACTTTGTAGATCACTTTGAAGAAGGAGGCATTTGATGAGATGGAATGACTAGGGTTGACGAGGTGTTCGATTATCGCACTCAGCTACAAGGTCAAAGCTGTATATGCTCAGAAGACGTAGATGAACCTAGCACTGTATATGACACCTTAATTGAAAATAGCTATCCAGAAAAATTTATCAGGAAGCACATGACCAAGAAAGTAGGAGAGAACTATTCTCTATCTGTAATAAATAAGAAGCCTTTATATAAACAGTTGTAGTTCAAGGGTGACGTACAGAGTGAAATAATTACTAACAAGTTAAGGAAATCTATTCAAAGAACTTTTAATGCCGGTTGTGATTTCTCAATTGACAGATGGAGTACCTAGACTAACCACGTCTCTACCAATTCCACTGCACTTGTGGAGCGAGTTCCGTTGGCCATTGCTCTAAGAAGTTAATTTTTCTTGCTTGTTCGGCAACACACACCTACCAGTGTGGTTAAATAAAGGTATAGTGAGAAACATCAACAGCTGAATATTAGACCACCTGGTTATTGAAGAATCCTTCTGCATCCTCTATCGGGTACCAAATAGATTACCAAAAAGCATTCAGGTACCGGATACTCCAAACAACACAGGCTATTGTGATTCGTCTAAAACAACTACTGCTGCTCTCTGTGTGCAGAAGAACTAGGTCGAGCCAGCTGCTACTACTGTAACGATAGAAGACAAGGGCTATGAAACAGACCGTTTATTGAGAAAATCAATAGATATTTATAGATTTCTATGTGAATTGTTATTGAAAACCAAACACGTAGATCACTGAAGAGCCTCTTTTCGGCGGCGAATTCATTTTCACAGCTGTACGATCGCAAATACATTTTTGTGTTGTTTTGTATGTATGTGTAGATTAAGTTTGTCAAGCAAAAATACAATTGGTTATGGTTATTTTATCTAAACAGTTGAAGATTGGAAATTGGAGTTACGTAATACAAAATCAGTCAAGAAAAATAGGTGTTAAAGAAATTAGGGTAGCAACAAAGGTGATGAGTTGTCACAAACAGTTGTTAAAAGAAGTTATGTAATAATATGAATAGTTTGATGATTGAGTTTTACTCAGGATGAACATAGGAACAAAGTAGATAATACGAAATTACGTAAGAGTTCTAAATGAATACAAGAATTATAAGTAATTAAAGAACAGGCAAAGAAACAAAATTAAATCATCAAAATCAAAAAAGTTGTTACCAAGACAGTAGAAGTGGTTGAGTAATCCTCTTTTGTATGCACAGCTCCGGATTTTCTATGTGAATAGCCAGAGGTTCAGCGATACAAAGAAGACGAAACCGTATTGCTTTTGATAGGTTATTCTTGACTCTGTAGATTACTTTGAAGGATGCGTTTGCTGAAGTGGAATAATCAGTGTTAACCAGGTGTTCAATTATCGCACTCCTTATTGCACCACTGTTGCCTTTTCGCAACCATGCTGGATAGCGTTCTTGCATCCTGTTGGACAGGGTGCGCATCGAACGACCGATGTACCTGGCTTCACAGCAGCAGGTGAATTGATATATGCACATAGAAGTGGTCAGATGCGGGAACTTGTCCTTGAGGCTTCTGCAAATCAGTGGGACACTGGAGAACACTATTCTTAGCGTTGCTGCGAATGTTCTTCTCAGAGATGATGTGATCCTTCTCTTGAGAATATCGCTTGCTAAATATCCCTTGAAATCCAAGTTCACGTAGAGTTCCTTTTTTGGCGCAATTAAAGTTTCATTTCTCCGAATTCTTGGTTTGATATTTTTGTCGATGAATCTTATTGG